AATTCCTTCAGACATGGCAAGAATGGAGAAAAGGGGGATATTTGGTGATGGAGCAGAGTAGAGGCCAGGGGGACTTATAAATAAGCCAGGGCGAAGGAACCGAAGAGGCGGTCAAGTCTCGAGGCAGCCGAACCGATAAAGCAGCCTTGAGCCGCGCGAAGGTCCAATCAGAAACGGCGAAGGGCATTGGATCAATTGGGCGGCACGATGGCCAATCTAGGGATTGGGCTCGGAATGGAGAAACGGGCCGGGACTAGGAGTTGGGCCCAAACTAAAACATACATGTTAACCAGCTAAATCAAAAAAAGAGTGCTGAAGTAAAGCGCCAAAAAGAGAAAACACATGGCGAATCTAGGAAATTAAACAACATAGGAGCATTGTATCAAAACGACAAATCATTCCGAAGGAAAAGAGATAGGCAAGTGTTGGTAAAGCTATGGGGGAACAATGGGGGATTTAGACGGCCGAGCCGGAGGGTCCACCCGCTTTGGACATGGCTAGGCTGGCACCTGGATTCTGGTCGCTCTGACCACCTTCCACTTCTTCTTCTTCCTCCTCTTCCGACGCACTCGAGCTCCCCCCGTCCAGATAGGGACTGGGGTCGAACTCAGCCAAGGAGCGGCAGGGAGGAGGGAAGCCAAGGTCGGGGAGAGAGAATCCTTTAGGGAGCTGGGCCAGCCTGTTGTGGAAGACCTGTTGGGCATGGAAGAGACCGCAATTGAAGGACTTGGTTCCCTCCTTGACCATCCATTGGGCCCCAGGTTCAGTTTTGAGCCAAGCGGCCGTTAGTTCTTCCATCCGCTCCATTGCGACTACCGGGAAGTCAGGAGAGGACTTGAAGGATTCTACCGCTCCCTCTGCATGGCGGACCCGATCGCTCCTCTCCACGTCCAACTGCTGGATCAGATCAGATTTCTCCCCTTCCAGCTCGACCACTCGAGCAGAAACAGATTCTACCTCCAAGGACAAGGAGGCCTTGTCTGCCTCAAGGGCGACGCAGCGGTTCTCCTGGGAAGCTTTCTCCACAATAAGCACCGCGCAGCGATTTTCTTTCTCCTCCAACTCCCTGGTAAGTCGGGCGACCTCCTCCTGCAGCTCCTTCTGCTTGGCCTCGGCTGCTTTCATCACCTCGTCCGCGGCGGCCTGGCGACCCCGTCTCTGGCCGACCACCTCAATCATCCCCAGCGTAGCCTGCGCAAAGGGGTGAGGGTTAGGGGCCTAAAAAGAAAAGGAGTGATGCATAGGAGATCAAGACCAGTACCTGACTGAGCCTCAAAAGGACCATGTTGTCAAGATCGTCCTCGGAGCCTGCCGAGATACGAGCCTGGTCTTCTGCAGGCAGAGTGATAAGAGTCTCCAGCTGTACGTCCCCTAGGCTTTGGGGCAGGGGAGGGATGCAGAGCCTCGTCGAGCGACCCTCGGTCGCCACCTCGTAGGTCATTGCGGGTGGTGATGGAGGTCGCCCCAAGGCAATGCCCTGAGACGACCCAGTGAGGTCGCCACCCTGCATCATGGGGTGTGGAGGGGACTGGCCAGCCATGGTACCCGGTTCCTGGGTAGCATCTTCTTGGTCCTCCACCGCAATTACGACCGGCTCTCGAGAAGGACCCTCCTCGTGGTGGGATGAAGAACGTTTGCCCTGGCCTTTCGTCTCTCTCTTCCTTTTCCTCCCTGCGGTGAAGCGACTGAGCAGGAGATCGCTGTCCATCTCTTCTCCTGAATCTTGTAATTCCACTGGAAACAAAGGAAATGGTCAGCCTTGGGAAAAGATAAACTAAACATCTGGGCAAAAGAAAGGGTCGCCTACCAAAAGGACCACAATCAAGACCTTCCTCAGGAATGTCCTTCAGCTGGTCAGGCTGATGCCCCCCGGGGATGTCCCTCAGTAGGTCGGGTTGGTGGCGAAGCTCATCCTGAACAAACTCAAACCCCAACCCGGCAAGGGTTTCCTCTGTCACCACCTCTTTGATGTTCATAACTCCCTTATTGCAGAATTGGCGAGTGATAGACAAAAGGGTGGCATCAGGTGGGGGGCGTGGGATGCGACGGAAGGAAGGGCGCCCTGAACCCGTGAAAGGAGATTCGGGCCCCGTCGAAACGAAGACAAAGAAAGGCTTCCAATCTTTGGTTGACCCCTTCTTATCACTAGCAAAGAGTTTACTGGACCTCTGGGAAAGACTGGCATAGGACGCCCAATCCTTATGGCCCTTGGTCAGTTTGAAGGTGAATATGAAATGGTCCAAGGTCGGATTCACCCCTA